TTGAAAATTTGTTTGAATGTATTTTCCAAAATTTCATCTTGCATAATTTGACCGCTTTTTATTGATTTGTATTTTCTTTTTAAGTCTTTTCTAACTTTATTCAAATCTTTCAATACTTTTTTATTCATGATTATTCAATGAAATCGCTATTATTGATCTGATAATGAACTGGTATTGAATTGCAACCCACCTGATCTGGTCTATTGCCGTTGTTGATTTGATCTGTTGCGGTGGTTAATCTGATTTGTTATAGAAATAATTTATAATTATATATGTATATATATGAACATATATGTATATATGTATATATATGAACATATATGTTCATAGCTTGATTCACCAAATTTTCTTCTATAGTGACCAGCATTCAAAACACTAATATTCCATTCTCTGGCAACCCATAGTTAGTTCTGTGTTTTATCACCAAAACCCCCTCCTTATATTCTGATACTGGTCCCTTAGATCAACCATCAATTTTTTTTTAATATTGAATTGAAAGATATTCAACGCTCCCCGATTTGGTAAAGCGCATTTTGCGCTTAATTAGAAGGCAAAGTCCTCTTTAGCCTTCTGGGAGAATCTCGGATAATAAGTAGCCACCTCTACATTAACAGATGAGCTAAGTTGCTCCAGATGAGTTCTATATCGCACCGTCTTTTCGTTTATTTCGTCAACTACATATGGAATTGTTAGATCTCTGTGCAAATCTCCATTTCGCACATACCAAAGGGGCATCCACCATATTCCGCAAACCTCTATACTGGAACGTTTGTATTCGCTGGGCATATATTTGTTTAGCACATCTCCACAACTGGATACCATACAACCAAAACGGTTAAATAATTTGGTTATAGAGCATATATGCTTTAAATTTAAATCATTTTGTTTGATTATGTCATAATATTGACATAAATGAAAACTATCCACATTTTGATGACATCCCATGCAAAAATAATTCCTTATGGTATCTTGCCTATCGCAAGCAAAATCATCAACTATAAATATTGAATTAGGTTGAGATTCAGCAGGGTTACTTACAAGCAGGGTTAATTACACCTGCGTCATTTGAAAATTCGTTATATCCCATTTCCTTAATAGGACCCATTACCTTTTTCAAGTATTCATATTTCAGTTGATTCAACGATTTAGAATTGTTATGTATATATTTTGAAATTTAAGCCCATTCGGATCTAATTACATAGTCAACATTATGTTAGTTTTACCGCGATTGGAGGGATCCACAATAAAACTCTTGATACTAACTGGAATCATTGCACCTTGTTTTTTTTTCTTTTTGCTACCCGATTTTTTATCAAATTTTTTTACTTTTATTGTGTCATGCACTTTTATAAACTTCATAACTACTACTAATTTAATTTAATATAAGATTATCAAATTTATATTCTTGCAATCATTTGTAATTGATTTACTTTCGAGGAAGGAATAAATTTTAATAAAGTTCAATGATCGAATGACGCTCAGTAATAAACATATTTTTTTTGAATTCTTTGATAAATAAATTACCATTTGAAGCACATTTACCTGGATACAACTATTGTGGTCCTAGAACAAAATTGAAAAGCGGCTAGATCGTGGCGATAAAGGTATCAATCAATTAGACAAAGCATGCAAAGAGCATGATATTGTATACCCTCGAAGTAACAATATTGCAGATTGTCATATTGCTGATAATATATTAGCAGAAAAAGCCTGGCAAACAGTTAAAGCCTGGTTGGTAACAAACGCAATGAAGACAAAAGTTAAAACTGGAATGGGTTGTAGAAATGGGATAAAAAAGAAGAAGAAACAACCCTTAAGAAAATTAATCCATGAAGTTAAAATTGCTATTAAAGGTTATGAACCTGAAAAAGAAAAAGATGCAATAAAAATTGCACTTTAAGCAACTAAAAATATTGGTACAAATAAGAAATCGATAAAAATTTCACGTATAATTAGAGTTCCAAAAACTGGTGGTATTCTACCATTAATTCCGATATTTGCGGGTCTTTCAGCTTTTAGAGCTTTACAGGAGGTGCTGCTTGTACAGCAAGAGCTGTCAACGAAACTAAAAATGCAAAGAAGATGTTAAATGAAAATGAGCGTCACAATAAAACTATGGAGGCTATTGCTTTTAGAGGAAAAGGTTTATAATTAAAATCAATTAAAAAATGGTTTAGATTATATTTAGCTCCATAAAACCACTAAATTTGCTACCCAAAAGATGAATATCGATATAAATTATAGTTTTGGAAACTTACAACCACCAATTGAAGTTGTGAAATATTTAGGTGATAAAATTTCATATAATTATAAGAAGTACCAAAAATGTAATACATAGAATTGTGGTCATTTATGCTTACGCTTTTTAACTAATAAAAAATTATGAATAGTTTGTTGTTCTTGTTATTTTTTATTCATTGATATAAAATTACAAGTTCAAGAAAAAACATGATAAGAAATGAAAGCCAAAAGTAGGTCGAGCTTTTTTCATACGCTGAGATTTATAATGACTAAAAAATTGTGATATCAGGATCAAAATTATTTAAAAAACCTGTTAAACTATTGACGATGTCTTTAAAATTAACTTCAAATGCTAACAGTTACATCCTAGTGAATGGATTAGTTTTTCATACCCTATAATGTCTTTAACATTAACTTTAAATGCTAACAGTTACATCTTAACAGCAGATTTACCTATAGATTTATTATACCTATAGATTTACACATTTGTAAATGTAAAGCACTATAGGTTTGTGCTTTAGTCGATTTCCAGACATATAATTCAATACCGAATATTGATAATGATAATAACAAATTCATTACGTCATTGAGTTTACTAGGTAAATGACAGGCCTACCGTAGTTTTTAGCACTTTTCCAAAAAATTTTTGAAAAAAAGTGTTTATTAGTTTCACTCTGTCCGTCCGTCCGTCCGTCTGTCCGTGTGTCTGTTTAGAAAACTTCTACACCTTTGAAGATAGAAAGCTGAAATTTTGTACGTTAGATCTTTACTAGAAACTTATTTCCGTAGAACAAAATTTTTACCTATCTCCCTCCCTCTAGAAGTTATACCCCCCAAAACCCTAAAAATGGCCTTTTTTAACTATTTGTTGCAATGAAACCATAAGCATTTTTGAAATTTTGCAAACGCAGAAAGGCAGCGGCTTGCTTCCACTAGCGCGGTATATTATAGTTAAACTTTAGAAAAACAAAATGGCCGTTCAAATTAACCGAAAAACCTTGAAATTTTAGGAGCTTTTAAACATTAACAAAAAGTTAATTTCGTTAGAAGAAAATTTTTTTCCATTTCCACCCCCTCTCAAGTTATCGCCTCTTGAAATTTGTAAAATTTGAATTTTTGACACCTTATATTTCCGAAACTGCAAGCGTTTTCAAATTTCTATAAACACAAAAAGCTAACGGTAAATTCCATTACATTAAAAAATATAATTATTTTTCTTAACTCACACAATTAACCCTTAAAATCGAGCATTATGTTAACCCCACTTTGTATTAATTTTTGCTTTATTTCAAAGACTGAATAGATCGTTCATCCTAAATATATGCAATCATAGAAATAGTTTTGTATATGAATGAAAATAATTTTAAAAGTGTGATAGGTATACATAGACTGTATTTAAAGCAGTATTTTCACTAATATTGTTAAAGGGAAAAGTGGTACTATACAAACCATTGGTTTGACCTAACTTTATTATATGTATTAAATATTTAAGGTTATTGATATTTTACTATTTTATTTTGCTGGTATTTTTAATATTGGATATCATTAAAATACTATTTTTTTTAATTTTAAATTAATTTTTTTTAATCATTAATATTAATTTTTTTTAATTTTTGTATGTATACATTATAAAGTTTATATACATTATAGCTATATAATATTGAATATAATATTGAATATAACAGCTATATAATATTAAATATAATTTTTATAGTAACCTGACTGGGATTTGAGCCCGAGACCCATTTTTAAAGGACCAGTCCAATAACCACCGCACCATTGGTCAGGTAAAGGACCAGTCCAATAACCACCGCACCATTGGTCAGGTCATCGGTAGTAGAATCATCAATATTCCGATTGGTTTCTATTAAGTTAAAGATATAGAAGAGTTTCTTAGAAGAGGGTTGCAAATTAATGACACTAAAGCAGATAAGCAAAAACTTCATATTAAATCAAATACATTGAAATGTGATTTTTTTTTTTCGGCTGAAGCGATTGATTTTCTGCAAAAAGGTTTTTTACAAAATAGAAAAAATTAAAATTTTTTTAAAATTCGATTGCTTGTGGTTCTGATATTACATAAAACACAAAAAAGTAATACGTAGGTTTTAACTGTTTTGCTAACCTTTTCAAAAACTGTTAGTTTGAAGGTTCTACCTTTTTCGGAAGTTATAAGAAAAAAAATTTAAGGATGTAGAAATTTTGTGAAAATTTGTTAACATCATAGTATCAGTGAAATCCTCGAGCTTTGGCACTCGCTTCAGAATTACCCATATTTTTTCCTCTCATCAGTAACTGTTGCATACTTTGTTGTATGCCATTCTGAATTACTCTTTATAACAATGGATAGTAATTTTATATTTTAACTCAACTAATGGTCATATAACCATGACATGTAATTCTTTGTTAACTAATTATTTTATTAATATTAATATTTCTTTTCAACCAACCAACCTAGGTCATCTAAGCGAGTTCTCTCATATGGTTTTATGGTTCAAATGTTTTGGCTTTAACGGCATACCATATTTCATTTTTGTGATTGCAGTAGCTTTTAAAAACTCACAACACAAAAGTTGCCAAAAATTGTATATTTATAAAATTATATTTAAATATTATGTAATTTACAATTTCATCATTTTTCTGACATCGTTAGATAAATTAAATATAATTTGGATGATAATTTACATTTATTAAACTGATTAATCACTATGAACCATGTTAAATATTTTAATAATTGAAAGTTTAGTTCCTATTTTTACCTGAGTATTTGTATAGAAGATATTATATACATACGCTTATATATTCCGTATTCTACACATGCACACTCTATATATGTGCTATGCACCTATATGGTGATATAAGTATTTATGTTTGCAAAATATATATAATTTTATTACGTTTTTGTTGAAGAAACTTTAATTACATTTTAAATATTACGAAAATTTGATGACTATTAGTTAATATGCAGCGAGCTTGTATTATTTTAAAGGAAAATTCATATCCACTTTTTTTCAAAATTCACTTTCGTATTTTTCTCACATAAGAATGACGTAATTTGTCTAATAAAAAACTAATCAATCCTAGCAAAAAAAATTTATCATAAGTTTTGTTTTTCACAAAGCTTAGTATTCAAAATAAAGTTATGTGAACATTAAATATGGGATCTTTTATAATCAAATTGAATAAATATTTTTTTAAAAAAATTTAACTTTTTCGTTATAATATAATTGATAATTTTTAGCGACCGCATTGCGAACACAATAGGTAGGTCATGTGATGGCAACAAATTTTGCCGATCGAGTTTTCGTTGGGAACGCACCCCCCATGGTCGGGAAGTGTAAACAAACTATTTTTAATAACCTGTCAGTTGTCGGTCTGTGTGTGCACGCGTATATCTCAAGTTCGTCAGAACCGATTTTAATGAAATTTTATATCCAAGTTTATTTCGACTATGACCAACTTTTGCGATATATCAGGCCTTGGGAACTGAACTTTTTAGCAGGCCTGTTTTACATTTTTGATCATTATGAAGAAATTATTCAACATATTTATTTGAAATTTCATATATAAGCTAAGCTCAACCCCCCGCGATACTTTTAGAAGTAATCAGGTGTCAGCAACTGGACGTTTAATACGGGCCAAATATACATTTTTGCGTATACAAAGAGAAATAATCAACTGATTTCATTGAAATTTAACATTTAAATTCTTCGTTTTAAAACAATGAACATTAAAAATTTTAAAAGATTGGGGCTCGGAAATTGATTTGAGATACCATATTTACGGAACGAATTGATGGAATTTTTTTGAAATTTGGTATTTGAATTCTGATTGTCACTGAAACTAACTGTCGAGCATTTTATGGAATTGGAGTAGCCCAAAACGAAACTTTACTAAGCCAAATTTACATTTTGCTAGGTATGTTAGCTGTAAGCTTACTAATGCCTTAAAAATTGGAAAGACGTATTTAACAGGAATTTTTATAATATTTTTAATAAGTGAAAGTGTTACGTAACTTGATCACATCAGATTTTTTCATAATACTTTAAGGATTTTCTAAAAAGATGCACTTTATTCTGGTTGTTTTGGTAGGTTTTAAAAAAAGTGTAAACACGTGAATGACGTAATTTTGAAATTTATAACTATAATGCTTTTATAATTATATATTTACATAAAAAACAATTTCGTAACTTGAAGTATCGGACATTCTAGTTCTAGTCCTAAAGCTCTCGAGGTATGATTTCTTAGAGTTTTTTAGGAAAAAAATCGGAGTGGTTGGGGAAGAGTGGAAGATTGGAAGAGAACCGAGACTTCTAGAGTTAGTTTTGTGTAGTTAAAAAAATTGACAAAATTCTTTTAAAATCGCTTACTTCCAAGCTGTTGAAGCTAGAACATCGTATTTTTCATATCATTTTTTTTAATTAACTCCATCTGGCAAAATAAAAAAATTACAAAATTCCAATATTTTGTAACCTCCCTGCGTCAATTTTGATATACGCTGAATATTCATCTCTTAAATAATTCTATTATCAGAGAGCCGAAACTTGTGTAACCTCTTGGAGACAAGATAAAACACAAAAATTAAGAGTAAATTGAAATTTGCGGAAAGACAACCACGCGAATGACAAAATTTGGGCTTAAGAAAAAATTTTAACTTTAAAAATAAGCATTTTCGTTATCTACATTAACTTGTGGTAGAGAAACTTCCCATAAATAACTGTAATTCAAAAAATTTTTACTTGATAATTAGTTTTTTGTACATAAAGTTAGTATGTCCAAGAAATATGCGTAAAATTTAAGTATTAAGTAAAAAGTTAAGGTAGCATTAGTATAGAAGAAAAATGGAGCAAGCAGACTTTTGAAGTTGCATGGTAGGTACCCGGAGGAGCCAAGTATTTTCAACGACTTTTATCAGACACATTGGCCCTAATAATATATTAATTGTTTTTGAGAAATTTCAATACCACAGCTTTTATAGTTTCTCAGATATAGCCAAATAAATTTTTAAGTTGTATGGCAGCTACCCGATATATATTTTTGCGTATTGATGGATTTTTTTAAATTTGATATTTGCGTTCTGGTTGTTACCCAAACTAACTGGCGAGCAATTCGAGAAGACTTCAGCCTGCAATTGAAAGTAAAAGGTTACACCTGAATCATCAATTTGGTTTTTGGAAAAATCACTCAACCATAGATCAGATTCATAGAATAACTGACCTAATAGAAAATTCACTGGAAGAAAAAGCAGTATGTTCTATCATATTTTTGGACGTAGCTCAGGCCTTTGATAAGGTTTGGCATTGTGGTTTAATAAAAAAACTTAGGCGATTACTACCAAGGCAGTATGTTGACCTACTTGAGTCTTACCTGACTAATAGGGTATTTCGAGTTAAACAGTAAGAGAAGTACTCTTCGCTTAGGGATATCAGGTCGGGGGTACCACAGGGGAGTATATTAGGCCCGATATTATACTTGCTATATACGTGTGATATTCCTGAATCGGAAGGAGTGACAACAGCTACATTTGCTGGTGATACAGCAGCTATCGTAATAGGACGAAATGAAAATTAATCTACACAAAAATTGCAAAAGCCCAGTGATGAGATATCAAAATAGACTAGAAAGCGGAATACAAAACTTAACGTGGTGAAATCAGTACACGTAAATTTCACTAATAGGAAAATTGACAATTCATTTTCGGTTCGGATAAATGGCGTCTTGACTCCGTCCGCAAACACGGCGAAATATTTGGGAATAACGTTGGACGCTAAGCTCAGATGAAAGGAGCACATAAAGAAAAAGAGATCTCAACTAGAGGAGGAATACAGAAAGTTTGAATGGCTCTTGGGGAGGCTTTCTAAATTGGCAATATACAACAAAGTTTTGATATATAATCAAATATTTAAGCCTGTCTGGGCTTACGTGTTCAGTTATGGGGCTGCGCTGCGCAGACTCATATCCAATCTATACAAATATTTCAAAATAGAGTATTACGGAACATTGTAAACGCCCCCTGGTATGTCCGTGATGTCGATATACACAGGGATCTCACGATCCTAAGCGTCACAGACGAAATTAAAAAGCAAGCAGCCAATCATAAAAGCAGCGTTTATCCAAACATATCAACATTGAGGCGGCTCGATTGGTCGAAACTTTGTTAGGAGACTTAAACCTACGGGACCTCTCGAGTTAGTTTAAAGTTTTTTATCTGGAAAAATGAGTACATAGTACGCTATTGTGCCAGATCAAAAGCTTGTAAATAATCAAAAAGGTTAGAGCAAAATTAATGGGTAATCTATTCCGACTAATTTTGTGGTTTATTTTGAGGAGGGTGTTTTTTAGTGGATTAAAGTTCCACACTACTGCTTTTCGTCTAGCAGTATCTTTCGAGATTTTTTACTCTTCCTCTCGGTAAAAAAAAAAAAAAAAGAAATTTGCAAATTAATTTAGGTCACGCTGCAAAGCAGAGCATTGGCAACGGAATCAATTCTTCTATAAATTTTCATGTTATCAGCATAAATACTTATATCATTGTTGTTTATTATACGAGTGACATTATTAATACGCATAATAAATAGAAGAGGAAATGCCTACCAAATGCAGGTTCAAGAACAAAAAATTGCGACTTAAAATTATGAGTAAAATGGATTTCGTTTACATATCGAAAAATTTCAGCCCTTTTCTTTTCATACGATTTTATTCTTTTCTCGTACGGAATAATCGGTTTTAAAATAGGTTTATAAGAAGAAATACTTGACAAAATCAAGGACGGAGGCTCAGGAAAAGGAATTGGTGGTTTTAATTCGGCCTAAGGTATTATTTTGCCCCTCGGGAGCTCGCAAGTTTCCCGGCCTACATTTCAGACAATTTGGTTTACACACGTTAGGAAAACCGCATCCGTAACAAAATACCTTTCTATCAGCCAAACAATCGTGATAACTATGCCCCTCTATCCGACAGTTCCAACATACCAATTTGAATCCGGAATCCGCCAAAGCCTCAACCGTAGGCTGCAAGACCGGCACCGGGACGTCACCACCAATGTCGCTCCCTTCAACTTCGCTAATATGTCTCCCAATCTCTTTCAAAAGTTTCTCCCCCTTCAGACAAGACAAACGAAGTTGGGCTAAAGTATGGATGGGTATGTATTACAATTGTTGACGAACATGCGGCGTTAGACCACGGCGCAATATCTCAACCAGCTCAGATTCCGACAAGGTATCCTGCAAGTTTTCAGAGATCTTAAGAACTGCATCGCCATAATCATCAAAAGATTCGGACGCATCTTGCTTCCGACCACGCATTGCTTCTCTCAGATACGCATCGGAATAACACCCCCCATAGTGTGTACGCAGAGCTTGACAAAGACTGGGCCACGTAACACGCGCAACAGTACGGCGATAACGCCAGTTACCAATCTTTAGAGCCTCCAGCGAATAAAATCTGAACGTGTTCACACAACCCGTTAAAATTACCACCGAGAGTATCGACCGGTAAATAAAATTTTCTACTGAAAGTCACGCGATGCCCTCAAATTTAATATCCCAACCGGAAATCAGTCCTGAAATTTTACTACTACCTGAAGATAGAGAACTATCACTAGGTCGAAAATAGCCAAAACGCGAAAAACTTGTGTTTCCACCGCTATCATTAGTGTGAAACGTTGGACCTTCACGCAGCCAATCAATATATTGCGGATTAATTTGTGGAACTCGAAGTTTCTAAATCACGAAGCCGAGCGGTGATGTCGCGTAACTGGGACGCCAAATAATCTTGGATAATTTGCGAAATACGCGCCTCCAGGCCTTCCAAATTTTCGGCTAACATAGCCGACGGGTCAGCGTGCGCACTCGTCCCAGGTACAGATTCCGAACGACTCGAGCCAGGGTTTCCACCAGACACATCAACAGGAGCAGCGTTGGTCCCCTGCGCCAAATTTTCCGACGAAGCATTCACTCGAGATTACGCATGCGAACGAGTATTAGCTCTCACAGCTAGAGCCAAACAATCCTTACTATTACACACTGCCCTACATTGCGGACACGTAGAGT